GGGGCTAGGACCACCAAACTCGGTGGGCAGGTGGGGGCCGGGGGGGGACTCTTGGGGACCAAGTATCAGCCAACGAACCCTTAAATTCTTTGAGTTATTAACAATGAACCGTTTTTCCAAATGAATGGGAGTCTATGGCAGCTACCTTAAGGAAATAAGCCACACCCACCAAACTCTAATAGGTTGTGGGTCCCCTCAGGGGGCGTGTCTGTGCCAAGTATCAGCCCCCTAGCACATTCACTTTTTGACTTATAAAGAATGAACCAAGTGATTTTCTGGTTTTCATCCTATATCCTAACCCTAACCCTAACCCTAACCCTAACCCTAACCCTAACCCTAACCCTAACCCTAACCCTAACCCTAACTCATTCACTTTTTGACTTATAAAGAATGAACCAAGTGATTTTCTGGTTTTCATCCTATATCCTAACCCTAACCCTAACCCTAACCCTAACCCTAACCCTAACCCTAACCCTAACCCGTCGGGCTGGGTGGGGGGGGTCATCGAGAGAGTGTCTAACGCCTAACCCCTTAAAACTACACTTAGCCGATCCCTAGCCTTGACACTTGCCCTAACCCTAATTTAAGCCCTTACTATCACCTTACCAAACTAATTAGCTACTGACCCTAATGTTAGTGAAATCCCAGCCTAACCTTAAAATCTGACCCTTGCTTTAAAATTACACTTAGCAGATCCCTAGCCTTGACACTTACCTTACTCTAAAAGCTAACCCTAGTTCTTGAAGTTTTACACACTGGTTTGACTATGGATCTGAGAGATACCAACAAACGTGCGTGGGCCCGTGCATTGCCTTTGATCCCCTAGCCAACTGCTCGGGCCGTCGGGCTGAGTGGGGGGGGTCATCGAGAGAGTGTCTAACGCCTAACCCTAACCCATTTACTTCACATGGGACCCATTCCTATGGCATCAGGGGACTCTAAAACGCACTCTAGTAAGGTTCCCATAGTAACGCCCAAGTATGACACTTAGAGCATTTTTTCAAAATTTTGACCTTCAATGAACCTCAATGAACCCCAATAAACCACATATCCCCGGACTCGTGGGGACGCCCTGAGCACGAAAAACCAACTCCCATGTCTCTAGGATGCTCCTAGCGAAACTTGAAAAATGAATGGGAGTCTATGGCAGCTATAGGAAGGGGAGGGGCTAGGACCACCAAACTCGGTGGGCAGGTGGGGGCCGGGGGGGGACTCTTGGGGACCAAGTATCAGCCAACGAACCCTTAAATTCTTTGAGTTATTAACAATGAACCGTTTTTCCAAATGAATGGGAGTCTATGGCAGCTACCTTAAGGAAATAAGCCACACCCACCAAACTCTAATAGGTTGTGGGTCCCCTCAGGGGGCGTGTCTGTGCCAAGTATCAGCCCCCTAGCACATTCACTTTTTGACTTATAAAGAATGAACCAAGTGATTTTCTGGTTTTCATCCTATATCCTAACCCTAACCCTAACCCTAACCCTAACCCTAACCCTAACCCTAACCCTAACCCTAACCCTAACTCATTCACTTTTTGACTTATAAAGAATGAACCAAGTGATTTTCTGGTTTTCATCCTATATCCTAACCCTAACCCTAACCCTAACCCTAACCCTAACCCTAACCCTAACCCTAACCCGTCGGGCTGGGTGGGGGGGGTCATCGAGAGAGTGTCTAACGCCTAACCCCTTAAAACTACACTTAGCCGATCCCTAGCCTTGACACTTGCCCTAACCCTAATTTAAGCCCTTACTATCACCTTACCAAACTAATTAGCTACTGACCCTAATGTTAGTGAAATCCCAGCCTAACCTTAAAATCTGACCCTTGCTTTAAAATTACACTTAGCAGATCCCTAGCCTTGACACTTACCTTACTCTAAAAGCTAACCCTAGTTCTTGAAGTTTTACACACTGGTTTGACTATGGATCTGAGAGATACCAACAAACGTGCGTGGGCCCGTGCATTGCCTTTGATCCCCTAGCCAACTGCTCGGGCCGTCGGGCTGAGTGGGGGGGGTCATCGAGAGAGTGTCTAACGCCTAACCCTAACCCATTTACTTCACATGGGACCCATTCCTATGGCATCAGGGGACTCTAAAACGCACTCTAGTAAGGTTCCCATAGTAACGCCCAAGTATGACACTTAGAGCATTTTTTCAAAATTTTGACCTTCAATGAACCTCAATGAACCCCAATAAACCACATATCCCCGGACTCGTGGGGACGCCCTGAGCACGAAAAACCAACTCCCATGTCTCTAGGATGCTCCTAGCGAAACTTGAAAAATGAATGGGAGTCTATGGCAGCTATAGGAAGGGGAGGGGCTAGGACCACCAAACTCGGTGGGCAGGTGGGGGCCGGGGGGGGACTCTTGGGGACCAAGTATCAGCCAACGAACCCTTAAATTCTTTGAGTTATTAACAATGAACCGTTTTTCCAAATGAATGGGAGTCTATGGCAGCTACCTTAAGGAAATAAGCCACACCCACCAAACTCTAATAGGTTGTGGGTCCCCTCAGGGGGCGTGTCTGTGCCAAGTATCAGCCCCCTAGCACATTCACTTTTTGACTTATAAAGAATGAACCAAGTGATTTTCTGGTTTTCATCCTATATCCTAACCCTAACCCTAACCCTAACCCTAACCCTAACCCTAACCCTAACCCTAACCCTAACCCTAACCCTAACCCTAGCTCATTCACTTTTTGACTTATAAAGAATGAACCAAGTGATTTTCTGGTTTTCATCCTATATCCTAACCCTAACCCTAACCCTAACCCTAACCCTAACCCTAACCCTAACCCTAACCCTAACCCGTCGGGCTGGGTGGGGGGGGTCATCGAGAGAGTGTCTAACGCCTAACCCCTTAAAACTACACTTAGCCGATCCCTAGCCTTGACACTTGCCCTAACCCTAATTTAAGCCCTTACTATCACCTTACCAAACTAATTAGCTACTGACCCTAATGTTAGTGAAATCCCAGCCTAACCTTAAAATCTGACCCTTGCTTTAAAATTACACTTAGCAGATCCCTAGCCTTGACACTTACCTTACTCTAAAAGCTAACCCTAGTTCTTGAAGTTTTACACACTGGTTTGACTATGGATCTGAGAGATACCAACAAACGTGCGTGGGCCCGTGCATTGCCTTTGATCCCCTAGCCAACTGCTCGGGCCGTCGGGCTGAGTGGGGGGGGTCATCGAGAGAGTGTCTAACGCCTAACCCTAACCCATTTACTTCACATGGGACCCATTCCTATGGCATCAGGGGACTCTAAAACGCACTCTAGTAAGGTTCCCATAGTAACGCCCAAGTATGACACTTAGAGCATTTTTTCAAAATTTTGACCTTCAATGAACCTCAATGAACCCCAATAAACCACATATCCCCGGACTCGTGGGGACGCCCTGAGCACGAAAAACCAACTCCCATGTCTCTAGGATGCTCCTAGCGAAACTTGAAAAATGAATGGGAGTCTATGGCAGCTATAGGAAGGGGAGGGGCTAGGACCACCAAACTCGGTGGGCAGGTGGGGGCCGGGGGGGGACTCTTGGGGACCAAGTATCAGCCAACGAACCCTTAAATTCTTTGAGTTATTAACAATGAACCGTTTTTCCAAATGAATGGGAGTCTATGGCAGCTACCTTAAGGAAATAAGCCACACCCACCAAACTCTAATAGGTTGTGGGTCCCCTCAGGGGGCGTGTCTGTGCCAAGTATCAGCCCCCTAGCACATTCACTTTTTGACTTATAAAGAATGAACCAAGTGATTTTCTGGTTTTCATCCTATATCCTAACCCTAACCCTAACCCTAACCCTAACCCTAACCCTAACCCTAACCCTAACCCTAACCCTAACCCTGACCCTAATCTTAATCTCTTTGGGGTTCTTTAATTAGTTAATGCTAAGAGTTAACACCTATCCGGACCGCCTAACCTAACCCTAAGGTCCTAGGGGCCCGGGCCCTAACCCTAATTCAGACCTTCCACATCTTGTTAACACCTATCCAGACCGCCTAACCTAACCCTAAGGTCCTAGGGGCCTGGGCCCTAACCCTAATTCAGACCTTCCACATCTTGTTAACACCTATCCAGACCGCCTAACCTAACCCTAAGGTCCTAGGGGCCCGGGCCCTAACCCTAATTCAGACCTTCCACATCTTTATTGGCTCCAATGGGTCTTAGGACATCTAGGCCTTGACCCTAATCGTTTTTAGCATATTTTACACAATCTTTATTAATTATTTATACCCATCCAGACCTTTAAACTAACCCTAAGGTCTTAGGGGCCCCGGCCCTAACCCTAAAAGCAAAACCTTGGACCCCTAATTTATCCTGTCCAGGCCTCCAACCACAAAAAACATAGAATTTTTATAATTTACCTTAAAATTCACTTGTAATACCTGATTTTCCCGCAGTGCCTTATGGGTAATTTTTAGACCTAATTTTGTCTTAAAACCTTTAATTTTTATCACCATACTGGTTTTTAATTAAGACTATCTACCAATTCCCCTACTGTAGTTCGCATATAACTTAATTTTAGCAACTTTTCTCATGACCTTAAAATAAAACCATGAGTGAAGCAGTACTACCGATAGATGACCCCAGCCCCAATTCAAATTTGCTTTTGCGTTAGGCCTTGGCCCTGAAGCTGTGCGGTGTATGGAGCACAGGGTCAAATTCACCTCTCCTGTAGTTGTGCGGTGTATGGAACACAGGAGAGGCTCTCTTCCAGTCGGTGTTTGGGGGTCCGTAAGGTCCCCCTGCCCCCGGTAGGCTATGGGCCATGGCGAGCCATGGCCCTGGTCCTTTGCGGGGGACACCAGGGCACGGGGAGCCGTAACGACCTGGGGGAGCTTGCCCAGCCGTGATTGAATTTTCGGCTGGTTCTTGTCTTTCCCCGGGGGGGCTCCTCAATCCCCGGACTGGCGCCACCATTCTCCCAGCAGGTGTCTGGGGGTCCGCTTCAGGTCCCCCTTCCCCCTGTAGCCTAATAGGCTGTCTAGGGGGGACACCAGGGCACGGGAAGCCGTAACGACCTGGGGGAGTAGGGCCGGCCGCAATTCATTTTGCGGCCGGTCTCGACCTTTCCCCGGGGGGGCTTCTCAATCCCCTTGCTGGTGCCATCTTCCTCTAGTCTGGTCTTGGGGTGGGGAGGACCGCGGTTCACCGTGGCCCTTCCCGGCTCCCCTCCTGGGGGCGGTGGGGATTGTCGCAGCCTGGCTGTGGTCTTTCCCTGTCCGCCTCTGGGGTCACCGGACAGGGGCGGAGAGCCACACCACCTGGGGATGCTTGGGTGGCGACAATTAATTTTGCCGCCATTTCTTGTTTTCCCTGGGGGCTCTCTGTCTCCTTGGTGGCCGTAGCCCCCCTGTTTTCCTGGACCGGCCCCATGATGATCTGGGGGACCGTAAGTAATTGCGGCCCTCTTGCGTCATTGGGGTTTTGGCCCTTGATTCCTGGGGACTGCGGTAGCCTGGAGGATTTCTGGAGCTGTCTCTCCAGTCTGGTCTTGGGGTGGGGAGGACCGCAGTTCGCTGTGGCCCTTCCCGTCTCCCCTCCTGGGGGTGGTGGGGATTGTCGCGGCTCTGCTGTGGTCTTTCCCTATCCGCCTCTGGGGTCACCAGACAGGGGCGGGGAGCCACACAACCGGGGGAGGCTTGGGTGGCGACAATTGATTTTGCCGTCATTTCTCGTTCTCCCCTGGGGCTCTCTGTTTCCCTGGTGTCCATGGCCCCCTTGTTTTCCTGGACCTGCCCCGTGGTGATCTGGGGGACCGTAAGCAATTGCGGCCCTCTTGCGCCATTGGGGTTTGGCCCTTGATTCCTGGGGACTGCGGTGCCTGGAGGACTCCTGGATGGCAATGACTTTCTGTGGTTTTCCCTGGTGTCCCTTAATGATGAGGGGCGCCGGGGTGACCACAGTCTGTCGGAGTTGGTTAGGCTCGGACTCACCTTCTGAGATGGAGGACCCAGATCTTCAGCCTTACCTGGGCAGGTCGGAGTAACCTTACGGTGTCAACAACCGACCTGTTTACCGAAGGGTACTGGGTAAGGAGGTAAGTATGCGGCCCCCTTGAGTTCCACTATTGGAACAAAGCACACAAGGTGTGGCGGTCCAGGGCTAAGGACCTTAATCGCAGCCCAGTCTTCTATGGGGGTTAGCCCCGGCAATGCACAGCCCACATCTGCACCACACACGTTTAATCGGAACCTTTTCCCTTTTTACCACAATTGGACTCCTTCAAATTGTCATCCTCTCCAGATTTCACATCCCCTAGTCCAGCTTAGGTGACTAGGCCGTGGATGCAACGGGACCTAGGTGGTAGTCATACATCCCCTAGTCCAGCTTAGGTGACTAGGCCGAGGGTGCAACGGGACGTAGGCTCTTTTACAATGCCCAATCGGGTGTTGATCTTGATGGTCTCATCTTGATGGGTCCCAAGCCGGACCTTGACCTTTGACCTTTCATTGTAGATTTTTTCACTAAGGCAATGGGTCCTAAATCGGACCTTGACCTTTGACCTTTCATAGTTTTTTTTCTTCTTTTATGCTGTGATTGACTTAGTTTTAGATTTCTTTAAACCTAATTGGCTATTGGACACACAGCAGGGACTGATCATCCCTGTCTGGGCCGTCCTCGAGTGAGGGTGTCTAGTGATAATGGCCGAAACACCCGATGATCTTGAGGTCCACTACTGATGATGTGTTCCAAAAATTCCTTTTATTTAGTTTAGAATATTTTATAGTATCCTTTCTACCTCTACTATATGATCAACGCTTACCTTCACCATTTATTCTGACTTTAATCGTATGGAGGAATTTGGATGGTATTGGGACCTGTTAAAGGGACTCCATGCTATCCTATTCTGTAACTCCATCCAACAATTTTTATTTATTTAGAATGTCTTTGCTGTGTACTTCCTACCCGGGCCAAACAAAAGGAGATGAGCTCTTGAGTGACATGCGTCGGCCAGTGCCTTGCCTTTGACTCCCTGAACCATACCTTTTTCGGTCAAACGACTGATTGAGGGGGATGTCATCGTGACACTATTCCTACACCTAACCTAAAGCTAACCAACAATAGGGGCCTGGCGAAGTTTTCGGACATGAGGTAGCACTTAATTGCCTTTTTTGAAAAATTCTAGGGGCCAAACTAAAGGCTCCGGGGCCCGGGGCCCAAAAATAGGGCAAAGCCTCGTGACCCTTATGCTAGGGTCACCCGATTTTTCACGCCCACCCTGAGCCCGGGGCGGACCCCCAAACAGGGCAAAGTCTCACAAAAAACTTAGTTTTTGTGCAAGTTAGGGTATAGATTCACCGATTGACCACCAGAGGGCGCCAGGACACTTTGTATTACTCAGTATAGGACGATTGGCTTGGGACAACCTGCATTACTTCATATTAGACATCGGTGTGGATCTTACTATGGGACAGCCCGGTAGTTCTTTCCATTGAGACAATCGGGCGCCCCATACATTGGACATGTCCTAGGACCGAGAAACTATGGACGAGATGAGGCATTTGGCGATGGGACAAGAGGAGGCATTGGGGTTGGGACATGTCTAGGGATGAATGAATGTGACAACCCGCCGTACTTTTGAATGGGACAAGAGTCGGCATTAATCTTACCAGGGGCCCAGACATGCGGAGGCACTGAGCCTTTGACACAGGGGCGCTCCCGAGCATTGGACATGTCTAGGGATGAATGAATGTGACAACCCGCCGTACTTTTGAATGGGACAAAAGTCGGCATTAACGCAATTTTGGTTTTTTTTCAAAGTTTTACCAACTTACCTGGTTCACAGCGACCCAACAGCAACAACGGATGGACACCTGGCCATATTGAAGCACTGGGACACCAGTCAGCACGTTAAAGCGCATATTTTTAAACTTTTAACCATTTTTGGGATTTTTTTCAAAGTTTTAACACCTTACCAGGGGCGAAGCCTCCCAGATGCATTACCCGAGGGACAGAGGACTGCATTAAACCATAGGGACCAAATGTCCAAAGTAGAAATAATGAAGAAAGCATCTCTTAAACAACAAGTCTTTTTTATTTTTTTTTTACAAAATTAGTACAAAAGTAGAAAAGTGTTTAAAAACACTGCAATAAAAAGAAAAAAACACAGCAAAAACACAGCAGTCATAGCATGCGACTAACTACACAAATAAATAAACATTTAAATATTTAAATAATTAAAATATTGATACTTTTTAACTTAGAAAACCTTTTTTTTATCTGTACCTATGCTTCCGCAACTGTGGTTTTTTTTTTATTATGCGTCTACGCAGCCTGTACCGCTGCATTGGAGTTGAAGACTTTGTTCTGAGGCGTGGGACAAGAGGAGTGTTTTGGATCGATGATGTGCTCTGGCCCGGTGGGCTGACCTGGCTCGATGATGCGCCCTGGCCCGGTGGGCTGACCTGGCTCGATGATGCGCCCTGGCCCGGTGGTGGTGCTGCGGTGCCCTGGGCCGGTGGTGGTGGTTGTGGGCTGCCCTGGGCCGGTGGTGGGCTGCCCTGGGCCAGTGGTGGTGGTGGGCTACCCTGGGCCGGTGGTGGTGGTGGGCTACCCTGGGCCGGTGGTGGTTGTGGGCTGCCCTGGGCCGGTGGTGGTTGTGGGCTACCCTGGGACGGTGGGCTGACCTGGCTCGATGATGCGCCCTGGCCCGGTGGTGGTTGTGGGCTGCCCTGGGCCGGTGGTGGTGCTGCGGTGCCCTGGGCCGGTGGTGGGTTGCAATGGGCCGGTGGTGGGCTGCCCTGCCTCGATGATGCGCTTCCCTGGCTGGGTGATGCGCTGCCCTGGCTGGGTGATGCGCTGCCCTGGCTGGACGATGCGCTGCCCTGGCTGGACGATGCGCTGCCTTGGCTGGATGATGCGCTGCCCTGGGCCTCTTGTATGGATGCAGCAGCAGGTTCCTCTATGAGTTTCTGTACAAAATAAAAAAAAACACATATTAATACATGTTAAACTTTGTGTATGGCAGACACTTGATGCCAATAACACATACCTTCTTTCCAGATTTCTTCCCCCAGGTCTCCGTGTCATCTGCGCTGGAGGACTCTGACATGGCCAGGACACCCTCTTCTGGGTGGGACACAAAGTCGTCTTCATCAGGGTCACCAGATGGCTGGGTGGCAAGCTCGAACTTCTTCCGGATCTCAGAGAGCTGAGCAGCGTTCAGGTGGAGGCTGTAGTATTTGTCCGCTGTTGACGCAGATATGAATCTGAATTTGTTAAACCTGCTTTGTGAAACAGACGCCTGGCCAGCATTTGTATTATATTCACTATGAAGAAATTCTTTATAGTGAATATAATACATAGTAGGACACTCATTTCTAGGTGTGTTACTATGTGAATGAAGAAATTATTTCAGATATCATAAATACATATTCAATCAAGCTGATAAATGTCAAAACAGGCTCATTTAATGTGTAAATATTTCTAGATATATGAAGCCTAATTCTTACTAGTGTAATTTAGTTTTTTATTTTCTGAAATTCAGTTTCTGTTGCAAAAATGTAATTCAGAAAATCTATTATTAAGGTTCTGACCAGGAATGGGATTTTGACCATGAAGAACCTTATTTTAGTGATGTACAAATGGAACACAGGGAGGAGAGTGCTTTTAAAAACAGCCTGCCATAGACTTCATATTAACCTATGCATTAACTCAAACAAGAATCTTTTCCTTCACCATATTCCTCTCCTTTGCAGCTGTAGCACTGTTTCTTTGTCTTTTAAACACATTTTCCATTTATTTCTGTCATTTCTTTATCAAAATCACTGGTTCCAGTGGGGTGAACTAGGCACTTTCTTTTGCCCGTTGTCATGGTGACTCGTCAAATCTGTGCTCCACCGCTCCTGGCTTTTGATACTTATTAATCATGTGCTCCATTCTGAGTAGACCTACTTAGAGTTGATCAAACTAACCCACAACAGCTTAGGCTAGATTAATTCAGAGTTGAAGATTTGAGTCTGAGTTTGTTAACTCTGCTTTATGAAAAGGAACCTATAGCTCAAACCTGTTTCTGTTTTCAGGAAGTGAAACTCACACAGTCAGAATGAGCTGGATGCAGAAACCTTCTCCTGTTCCATCTGCCTGGATCTCCTGAAAGATCCAGTGACTATTCCCTGTAGATACAGCTACTGTATGAACTGTATTAAAAGCCACTGGGATGAGGAGAATCAGGGAGGAATCCACAGCTGCCCTCAGTGAAGGAAAACTTTTATACCGAGGCCTGACCTACAGAAGAGCAAAATATTAGCAGCTTTAGTGGAGCAGCTGAAGAAGACTGGACTCCAAGCTGCTCCTGGTGACCAATGCTATGCTGGAGCTGAAGATGTGGCCTGTGATGTCTACACTGGAAGGAAACCGAAAGCCATCAAGTCCTGTTTAGTCTGTCTGGCCTCTTATTGTGAAAAACACCTTCAGCTTCATAAGAATTCAGCTCCATTCAGGAAACACACACTGGTGAAGCCCTCCAAGAACCTCCAGGAGAACATCTGCTCTCCTCATGATCAGGTGATGAAGATGTTCTGCCGTACTGATCAGAAGTCTATCTGTTATCTCTGCTCTGTGGAGGAACATAAATGACACAACACAGTCTCAGATTCAGCAGAAAGGACTGAGAGGCAGAACAAGCTGCAGGAAAGACAATGAAAAATCCAGCAGAGAGTCCAGGACAGAGAGAAGGCTGTGAAGCAGCTTCAGCAGAAGGTGGAGGCCATCAATCACTCTGCTGAGAAAACACTGGAGGACAGTGAGAAGATCTTCACTGAGCTGATCGGCCTCATCCAGAAAAGTAGCTCTGATGTGAAGCTGCAGATCAGATCCCAGCAGGAAGCTGAAGTCAGTCGAGTCAAAGAGCTTCAGGAGAAGCTGGAGCAGGAGATCAGTGAGCTGAAAAGGAAAGACCCTGAGCTGGAGCAGCTCTCACACACAGAGGATCACAAGCAGTTTCTCCACAGCTACTCCTCACTGTCAGACCTCAGGGAGTCTACAACCTCAGCCGCCATCCACATCCGTCCTCTGAGACGCTGGGAGGATGTGACAGCAGCTGTGTCAGAGCTCAGAGACAAACTACAAGACATCCTGAGACACATGAGCAAAGATCTCACTGACTCTGACTGAAGCAGAACCAGAGAGCAGATCTGGTTTCTTAGGATATTCATGTCAGATCACACTGGATCCAAACACAGCACACAGTCGACTGATAATATCAGAGGGAATCAGGAAGGTGACACTGATGGATAAATTTCAGTCTTATTCTAGTCCCTCAGACAGATTCACTGATTGGCCTAAGGTTCTGAGTAGAGAGAGTCTGACTGGACGTCGTTACTGGGAGGTGGAGTGGAGGGGGTGGGTTCGTGTAGCAGTAGCATACAAGAATATCAACAGAACAGGAAGAGGGGATGAATGTCTATTTGTACATAATGAAAAATCTTGGGCATTAAATTGTTTCCAAGGTGGTTATGAATTTGGTCACAACAAAATCTGGGCCTGCATCTCAGTTCCTGGTTCTTCAAGAGTAGGAGTGGACCTAGATCACAGAGCAGGTGTTCTGTCCTTCTACAACATCTCTGAAACCAGAAGTCTCCTCCACAGAGTCCAGACCACATTCACTCAGCTGCTACATGCTGGAGTTTGGGTTTGTATCACTGGATCGTCTGTAAACCCAAATAGATCCAGTTTGCTGGTTCTGATTGTTGATCAGGGTTCCTGGTTCTGGTTCCTGTGCTCTGCTGCTCTCTTCTTCTTTCTTTCTCTTTTTAAATGTAATTTTCTGTGTCTGTGTTCCAGGAGCCATGAAGGACTTCACAGCTGATTTTTTCTTCCATTCTTCTGACACAGAAATATTTCTCCAAATGAAAATCTAAACTTCTCTGGGCTCTGATTGTTCAGCTGTGATATCTGTATTGATGGATCTGGATGTTCTGGGGTCTATTCCTCTGTTCAAATACTTATTTGCAGCTGTATCACAAATAATTAGTAAAAAAATCATGTATTGTGATATCTGCATTTTTACTATGTATCTCTCACATTGGAGATGCATCTATGATGATAATTTCAGACCTCTCCATGATTTGGGAAGAACTTGCAAAATAGCAGGTTGTTCAAATACTTATTATCCTTACTGTAAGTGTACATAATCTTTTCCCACTGCTCAAAGTTTTAAGTGTCTGTTCCTGATCTTCCCTCAGATATTATTCTGAACATGTTTGTCAAAGTTACACATTCTCGATCTTGAACATCTGTGTTTGATATTTCTGTAATCAATGTTGAAACTCTGTTTCAGAGGGTTGTTAGTCCTCTGCTTTATGTCTGAAAAGTGGGCTGCATGGTAACATAGTTTGTAGCACTGTTGCTTTGCAGCAAGAAGGTTCTTGGTTTTATTCCCACTCCAGGGTCTTTCTGCATGGAGTTTGCATGTTCTCCTTGTGCAGGGTATGTTCTCTCTGGGTACTCTGGCTTCCTCACACAATCCAAAAACATGGCTTGTCCCTAGGTGTGTGTTTATGGTTGTGTGTCTCTGTGTTGCCCTGTGAAGGACTGGCATGTGTCCAGTGGGAAGCCCTCCTTTTGTCCATAGGCTGGTGGAGACCGGCATCAACATCACTGCTATCCTGAAGGATAAGCTGGAGAAGATGGATGAATGTTTTTAGGCACTGCTACATTTAGAACGTAAAATCTATGGCTAAAATATAAATAAATAAATAAACCACTTGATATATATTAAATGCACAGTATTGTGTTATTTAGTTCAAGAGAACTGGCAATGATTACCTAATTTTAGTTAGTGGTATGCAAATACTATCCATCCATCCATTTTCAGACACGTTCAATCCCAAGTGGGGTCGAGAGGGGTGCTGGTGCCTATCTCCAGCTGTCTACAGGCGAGAGGCGGGGTCCACCCTGGACATGTCACCAGTCCATCGCAGGTGCAAATACTAAAGTGATCTCAATTTGCTCACAGCTTTCATGCATAGAGATAAGTAAAGTTTTTTGAATAAATGTAACTTTCAACTTGGATTAAATTAAGTACCTATTAATATCTTCACAACTGTTGATTTATGTAAAGTAAAATTCACTTTATACTGGTGTGACACGATCTTGCAGCATTAAATTAGACTTTAATAATTTATGTTCAGATTATTACGTACAATATAGTTTTGAAGTAAATCTTATGAGTTGTTCTTTTTTCAGTGTATGAATCATTTTAACTCCTGACCGTTTGCTATCAACCTTCCTTTGCAGCAATAACGCGCTGCTCAGTCACCTGTACCTGCCTGTCTGCCATCTGCCTCAAGCTTTGGTTTCATCTGAGCCCCAGAAATCTTCCTAATCCCTGAGAATTGTTCAGCTCCTTTTATAATCATCTCCATCTGTTCAGCCTCATGTTTAACCTGCTCTGTACAGCTGATGACAAACACAATAAACACAACCAGTTTGTCAAACTCTGTAGGGTTCCACATCCTACTAATCTGCTCTGGTCTTTGTCTCAATGCTTCACTGCTACCAACAGTCTTCTTCTGTTCTTCCTGAACTTTCTTTAATGCCTCAGCTAGGGTGACCATATTTTAATTTGAGAAAACCAGGACACCTTGGAGCGGCGGGGGGTGGGGGGGGTGGGGAGGTGGGGGTTGGGGGGGGGGTTGATTGAAAGAACAAATGTCTCATCATCGGGATTTGCTCCGCGATGAGAGGAAATGTTACTTGTTACTAGTTGTTTTAATGGTTATAGAGTCAGATATGTGGCGGTAATGTTTGGTTTATCTAAAGGTTTTTATCTGTTACTGTGTAAATGAGTTTGGCTGGAATTTAAGGACAGATTCTAATAAATCTGCAGAGTAGGGACAATAAATCTGATAGGAGTTTAATTTTTTTTATTGCACAATATGCTTAACTAAGTATTTTTTGTTGTTGAATATTAGAGATTTTGCAGATAAATTTTGTAGATACATTGTTTAGATTTACTTATATCTCTCTACCCCTTTTATAGAATAGAATAGAAAATCCCTTTATTGTCCCACAATGGGCAGATTTACAGCAGCAGAAAGATTATTGAAAATGGTCACACAAATGAGGACCTTAGAAAAATGTATAAGAATAACATAATAGGGAAGAGTTAAAATATAAAAAATAAAATTCTGTAAAGTGTTTTAACAATATAAAACTGGAGAATAAATAACCAATATGCAGCTATGGACATTTTTACAGTAATGGATATTTGAAAATAGCAGCAACATCAGAGATGTGCAGAATGACAGCAGCAGGTTATTTAACTGACTAAGGTTTCTATCATTACATTTGATTTTATTTGTTCCTGCTCCCGGTGGTTGGAACCTTTATTCCACTCTGGATTCTTGTGAGTGTAGTCTTTGTCTTTTAAAAAAATAAATAAATAAACAAACAGTTTTGAAAACCTCGGTATTCATTCTTTTCCTGCTTTGTGTGTCAACTTTCACGGTTGCGAAGCAACAGAGCATACGGCGGTAAAACCCGCTGAAGGGAGGACCTGTTCGAATTCACAGCCTAAACTCTTCCGGCCTCCTTATTTTCAAGGACTTGGAAGGATCCAGTCTAGGTAGACCGCGTCCTTGGAGGATGCAGCCCAGGTTTTCGAACAGAGCCTCTGATTAAGAACAGGGCTGCCCGCACTGACGCGGCTCACGGATTACGTCACACGGAGCGTTGTGCGCAGTGAAATCAGGACATTTCCTCACTTTCTAAAAAAAACCCGGGACGCCCGGGACAGGACGTGAAATATGGATATGTCCCGGGAAATACGGACGTTTGGTCACCCTACCTCAGCTTCACTTTTTGAACGTCCACTGCTCTCTTCCTGAACTCACAGCCTCCACAGTTTGCTCTGTGTTTCCCTCCACAGCTCCAACATTTATGCTGAACATTTTCACCACATTTTAAACATGTCTAGTTGCCCTTCCACCCTGCAGCAAAGTGACCGTCCCTCTGACAGTGGAGGAGGAACATCAGGCCTGACTGGATAACATAGAAAACAGAGACCCAAACCAAGGAAGAACTGCTGGGAACGCCCAGAGCCCGCCTACTAGTTAATATGTTAGTTAGTAGAAATACCCAGAACCAGGTAACCATGGCAACAACGCTGTCAGAGAGAGACTCCTCAGAGATTTATTACAGCCAACCAACAACTGATTGACATCAGAGACTCCCTGAAGAAACCTTCTGAAAATAAAAAGTCTGTCGGCTCTGTTTGGTTCTACAACGTTTGGATGAAGTCCAAAAGGTTCTGTCTGCTGCTGCATTGATCTCAATTATTGCTTCATATTGATAGTTTTAATGTTTTAAATCATTATTAGGAAAAAATGACGCCATGTTTCTGTTAGGAGCGTCACCAAGAAAATATGTGAAGGAGGCGACACTGAATGTTAGAAGCCATTCAGGCATTTGTCACAAAAATTTACCAAATAATTTATAATGGTTCTAACTATTAATGACAATCTCTCCACCCCCCCACCCCCTTTACCAATACCCATCTTGAACAATCAGTTCTCGTCTGAAACAGAAGGTGGCAGCACTGACACCATAATGTGGAGTTTCCTACTTTGACATTTTAAAGTTAGTTTATAAAGCAAAAACTGAGAAACACCAAAATTCATTATTTAGAATATTTTCTACTAGGGGTCAAATCCATAATTCAGGCTCCTTTAAGAGTCAGTTTTTATGTTTGATGTTGTAGAGTTTGTCTCTGCAGTCATCTTCCAGGTAATTAAAGATAAAAAACAACAGTTTATGCATTTATTCTTTGTTATGTAGAACCATAGATTCATTTAAACAGCACTGATGTATTAATATGTACGTAGCTTTACTAGCAGGAGCCTCATGAAAATCAGTTGGTTTAATAGGTGCTAGTTTCACTGCCTATTAGTTTTCGTCTGCCGCCCCCAATGAAACTTTTAGGGAAGCTCCACTGGTTAAATGTGGAACTGGACCAGAGACCCACGGGTCCTTAGTGTCCCTCTGTAACATCTAAACCAGCTTTCTGGTTCAGACCCCCGCTTTCTTCCACTGACTCATCCAGGAGTGTCAAGGCTGCCATCTTTGCACCTTTAGCTATTTATAGACATGTGTGTGATTATCTAGACCTTGTCCAACTGATTATTCTTTAGATCTGACTTGTTTAGAATGAATTGCTGATTTTCCACCTTTTATTCAGTCAGACTGAAAGTGTCCCTTTGAGAAGATGCATAGATTTGATTCTCCTCAGCAAACAGACAGACCATCATCTCCAGACCTAAACAGAGGAACATTTACAATTTCCTTCCACCTGAAGCTGTTTCCATCATTTCTAGCTGTGTTACTGTGTGAATGAATCAATGGGATTCAGTTCCATCGTTCAGGTTTAAACCATTAAAGCTCAAACTGTGGAGAAAAAAAAAATCAGCTGAGGTTCAGGGTAGAATCTGGAGGTTGCAGGACGTTCTTCTAGGGCTGGGCGATATAGAAAAAAAGCTTATCGATTAAAAAAAATGCATATTGATCGATATCGATAATTATTGAAAAGATTTGAAATCATATTTTATGTGCAGCTCTGCCTGGACTTTTTATGATATTGCTAAATTATTTAATTTTAGTAAAGAACACAAACACAGACTTCCAATTAAATATTTATTTAACCAACTTTTTTAACCATAACAGAATTGTTTTAAAGAAAAATAACTTAAGAGACCTGAATTATGTTATTAAATACTGACAAAGAATAAACTAAAGTGACCAGAAAATTGACCAAAATAAATATAACAAATGAATAAATAGAATACCCTATTTGGGTGGGAATAGTCCACCACCAACTGGTGGTAATTAAAAGATTGTAGGACTAGGCTACCATGGAAACTCCACTCAACAAGAACAAAAACCCAAATCAATTCACCCTTTATTCTAGCATTTCTATGGGGTATTTTTTCTCTCCCCTATTCTTCTAGAGGTGCTGCTGACACCTCGTTATGGTTCAGCTTAGCTTCCTGTTTTAACCTGAGTTATTACTTTGAAGTTTCTGGCCCCTCAGCATTTTTCTCTCAATTGTTAGAACTACGTGGGAAACTGCCCAGAACTAAATGAATATATATATATATTTTCCCCAAATTCCCGAAGATTCCTCGGAGGAGAGCTGCGTCGGGGCCTACACAGCTCGTACTCCTGCAGGTGTGAGCGGCCGAGATGATAAAAAGGAAGTTGGTTGTGTTATCAGACTGGTTTCACTGGTTCCCTACACATTTTACAGATGACTGTGGTTTGCTTTTTATCCAACTTGCCATGACCGAAATATTGCCAAACTGGCGAACTACAAAAATCCTTCTTTGAAACAGTTTCCTCCGCCTCTCCTTGCTGCGACATCTTCATGTGCTCTGTGTTGTGGTTTGAGAGGGGGGCGCTTGGTGACGGCGTGCCTGGGTCCGTGATTGTGATTGGTTGGGAGGAAGCAGTGACTAGCATAAACCTACATGCTAGGCTACAATGAGAAGGAAGGAAAACTGTGTTTCTTTATCGAACTTTTATCGACGCTCTTTTTTTCTATTGCGCCACACGTCTATCGATCGATATATATCGTTATTGAATTATCGCCCAGCCCTAGCTCAAAGTCCATTTCAAAGAAGACATAATTAGGATCAAATAGGCTGATATTTTAGAATCTACACTCATTTAGTTCCCTCTGTCAAAAAATAATTCAGTTACTCTGATTTCAATCATCTGTCATCTTCTCAAACTATGATTGTTATAAACAGATGGTGACATTTATCTATTTAAAAAGTCAGACAGTTCTAGCTGTGGGATATCTATTCCCAGAGCTAGATTGGCAAAATGGGGAAGAAAACATAAATTGATATGAAACTGTTGTGAAAAGCTGACCATCGCTTTACAGTCAGATTACAGGTGGTCTCCTTTCTCCGTACCACCCCTACATGGGGGGCCAATAAATACTTTATTCTTTCGGTAACCCCCCCAGACAGAAACACAGAGCCACCATTAGTCCATTTCATCTGCTTTATTATCCTGGGAGAAAATCATCTGAATTGTGAGTCCAACAGTGCGGTTCAGACCACTTGAGCAGACGGTCCGGTTCCATCCCAAGGACGGGTAGTGCTGCCCCCTGCAGACCCACTCCGTGTTCTGGTGCTGGAACGGTCAGTGTTTCTTAGCAGCTTCAGGCCCAGCCAATCAGGCTGCAGGAGTACAGTCAGCTGATCTCAGGTGGTGTAGAGGTCCATGGTACCAGAACCTGTGGTGGATCATATGAAGGTGAGGTGCTGATCTTCTTCCAGACCGTAGAAGGTCTTGTTCTCCTCAAACAGCTCCACCAGGCTCTGCAGGTAGACCCTGTGGAGACCATCGATTTCCTCTGAGGTGGGAGAGGATATCTGGGTGACCGGGACTGGCTTCCCTACTGGAGACACAAAACAAAGACTGGTTCTACTGGGACATTACAGACTGGAATCACAGACTAAAAACTGGTTCTACTGGGTCATTACAGACTGGAATCACAGACTAAAAACTGGTTCTACTGGGACATTACAGACTGGAATCACAGACTAAAAACTGGTTCTACTGGGTCATTACAGACTGGAATCACAGACTAAAAACTGGTTCTACTGGGTCATTACAGACTGGAATCACAGACTAAAAACTGGTTCTATTGGGTCATTACAGACTGGAGACACAAAACAAAGACTGGTTCTACTGGGACATTACAGACTGGAGTCACAGAATAAAGACTGGTTCTACTGGGACATTACAGACTGGAATCACAGACTAAAAACTGGTTCTACTGGGTCTACTGGGTCATTACAGACTGGAGTCACAGAATAAAGACTGGTTCTACTGTGTCATTACAGACTGGAATCACAGAACAAAGACTGGTTCTACTGGATCATTACAGACTTGAGTCTCAGAATAAAGACTGGTTCTACTGGGACATTACAGACTGGAGTCACAGAACAAAGACTGGTTCTACTGGGACATTACAGACTGGAGTCACAGAATAAAGACTGGTTCTACTGGGTCATTACAGACTGGGGTCTCAGAATAAAGACTGGTTCTACTGGGACATTACAGACTGGAGTCACAGAATAAAGACTGGTTCTACAGGGACATTACAGACTGGAGTCACAGAACAAAGACTGGTTCTACTGGGACATCACAGACTGGAGTCACAGAATAAAGACTGGTTCTACTGGGACATCACAGACTGGAGTCACAGAATAAAGACTGGTTCTACTGGGACATCACAGACTGGAGTCACAGAATAAAGACTGGTTCTACTGGGACATTACAGACTGGAATCACAGACTAAAAACTGGTTCTACTGGGACATTACAGACTGGAGTCACAGAATAAAGACTGATTCTATTGGGTCTACTGGGTCATTACAGACTGGAGTCTCAGAATAAAGACTGGTTCTACTGGGACATTACAGACTAGAATCACAGACTAAAAACTGGTTCTACTGGGTCTACTGGGTCATTACAGACTGGAATCACAGAACAAAGACTGGTTCTACTGGATCATTACAGACTGGAGTCTCAGAATAAAGATTGGTTCTACTCTGTCATTACAGACTGGAATCACAGAACAAAGACTGGTTCTACTGGATCATTACAGACTGGAGTCTCAGAATAAAGACTGGTTCTACTGGATCATTACAGACTGGAGTCACAGAAAAAAGACTGGTTCTACTGGGACATTACAGACTGGAGTCACAGAATAAAGACTGGTTCTACTGGGACATTACCGACTGGAGTCACAGAATAAAGACTGGTTCTACTGGGACATTACAGACTGGAATCACAGACTAAAAACTGGTTCTACTGGGACATTACAGACTGGAATCACAGACTAAAAACTGGTTCTACTGGGACATTACAGACTGGAGTCACAGAATAAAGACTGGTTCTACTGGGTCATTACAGACTGGAATCACAGACTAAAAACTGGTTCTATTGGGTCTACTGGGTCATTACAGACTGGGGTCTCAGAATAAAGACTGGTTCTACTGGGACATTACAGACTGGAGTCACAGAATAAAGACTGGTTCTACAGGGACATTACAGACTGGAGTCACAGAACAAAGACTGGTTCTACAGGGACATTACAGACTGGAGTCACAGAACAAAGACTGGTTCTACTGGGACATCACAGACTGGAGTCACAGAATAAAGACTGGTTCTACTGGGACATCACAGACTGGAGTCACAGAATAAAGACTGGTTCTACTGGGACATTACAGACTGGAGTCACAGAATAAAGACTGGTTCTACTGGGTCATTACAGACTGGAGTCACAGAATAAAGACTGGTTCTACTGGGTCATTACAGACTGGAGTCACAGAACAAAGACTGGTTCTACTGGGACATTACAGACTGGAGTCACAGAATAAAGACTGGTTCTACTGGGACATTACAGACTGGAATCACAGACTAAAAACTGGTTCTACTGGGACATTACAGACTGGAGTCACAGAATAAAGACTGATTCTATTGGGTCTACTGGGTCATTACAGACTGGAGTCTCAGAATAAAGACTGGTTCTACTGGGACATTACAGACTGGAGTCACAGAATAAAGACTGGTTCTACAGGGACATTACAGACTGGAGTCACAGAACAAAGACTGGTTCTACTGGGACATCACAGACTGGAGTCACAGAATAAAGACTGGTTCTACTGGGACATCACAGACTGGAGTCACAGAATAAAGACTGGTTCTACTGGGACATCACAGACTGGAGTCACAGAATAAAGACTGGTTCTACTGGGACATTACAGACTGGAATCACAGACTAAAAACTGGTTCTACTGGGACATTACAGACTGGAGTCACAGAATAAAGACTGATTCTATTGGGTCTACTGGGTCATTACAGACTGGAGTCTCAGAATAAAGACTGGTTCTACTGGGACATTACAGACTAGAATCACAGACTAAAAACTGGTTCTACTGGGTCTACTGGGTCATTACAGACTGGAATCACAGAACAAAGACTGGTTCTACTGGATCATTACAGACTGGAGTCTCAGAATAAAGATTGGTTCTACTCTGTCATTACAGACTGGAATCACAGAACAAAGACTGGTTCTACTGGATCATTACAGACTGGAGTCTCAGAATAAAGACTGGTTCTACTGGATCATTACAGACTGGAGTCACAGAACAAAGACTGGTTCTACTGGGACATTACAGACTGGAGTCACAGAATAAAGACTGGTTCTACTGGGACATTACCGACTGGAGTCACAGAATAAAGACTGGTTCTACAGGGACATTACAGACTGGAGTCACAGAACAAAGACTGGTTCTACAGGGACATTACAGACTGGAGTCACAGAACAAAGACTGGTTCTACTGGGACATCACAGACTGGAGTCACAGAATAAAGACTGGTTCTACTGGGACATCACAGACTGGAGTCACAGAATAAAGACTGGTTCTACTGGGACATTACAGACTGGAGTCACAGAATAAAGACTGGTTCTACTGGGTCATTACAGACTGGAATCACAGAATAAAGACTGGTTCTACTGGGACATTACAGACTGGAGTCACAGAATAAAGACTGGTTCTACTGGGTCATTACAGACTGAAATCACAGAACAAAGACTGGTTCTACTGGGACATCACAGACTGGAGTCACAGAATAAAGACTGGTTCTACTGGGACATCACAGACTGGAGTCACAGAATAAAGACTGGTTCTACTGGGACATTACAGACTGGAGTCACAGAATAAAGACTGGTTCTACTGGGTCATTACAGACTGGAATCACAGAACAAAGACTGGTTCTACTGGATCATTACAGACTGGAGTCTCAGAATAAAGATTGGTTCTACTCTGTCATTACAGACTGAAATCACAGAACAAAGACTGGTTCTACTGGATCATTACAGACTGGAGTCTCAGAATAAAGACTGGTTCTACTGGATCATTACAGACTGGAGTCACAGAACAAAGACTGGTTCTACTGGGACATTACAGACTGGAATCACAGACTAAAAACTGGTTCTACTGGGACATTACAGACTGGAGTCACAGAATAAAGACTGGTTCTACTGGGACATTACAGACTGGAATCACAGACTAAAAACTGGTTCTACTGGGACATTACAGACTGGAGTCACAGAATAAAGACTGGTTCTACTGGGTCATTACAGACTGGAATCACAGACTAAAAACTGGTTCTATTGGGTCTACTGGGTCATTACAGACTGGGGTCTCAGAATAAAGACTGGTTCTACTGGGACATTACAGACTGGAGTCACAGAATAAAGACTGGTTCTACAGGGACATTACAGACTGGAGTCACAGAACAAAGACTGGTTCTACTGGGACATCACAGACTGGAGTCACAGAATAAAGACTGGTTCTACTGGGACATCACAGACTGGAGTCACAGAATAAAGACTGGTTCTACTGGGTCATTACAGACTGGAATCACAGACTAAAAACTGGTTCTATTGGGTCTACTGGGTCATTACAGACTGGGGTCTCAGAATAAAGACTGGTTCTACTGGGACATTACAGACTGGAGTCACAGAATAAAGACTGGTTCTACAGGGACATTACAGACTGGAGTCACAGAACAAAGACTGGTTCTACTGGGACATCACAGACTGGAGTCACAGAATAAAGACTGTTTCTACTGGGACATCACAGACTGGAGTCACAGAATAAAGACTGGTTCTACTGGGACATCACAGACTGGAGTCACAGAATAAAGACTGGTTCTACTGGGACATTACAGACTGGAATCACAGACTAAAAACTGGTTCTACTGGGACATTACAGACTGGAGTCACAGAATAAAGATTGATTCTATTGGGTCTACTGGGTCATTACAGACTGGAGTCTCAGAATAAAGACTGGTTCTACTGGGACATTACAGACTAGAATCACAGACTAAAAACTGGTTCTACTGGGTCTACTGGGTCATTACAGACTGGAATCACAGAACAAAGACTGGTTCTACTGGATCATTACAGACTGGAGTCTCAGAATAAAGATTGGTTCTACTCTGTCATTACAGACTGGAATCACAGAACAAAGACTGGTTCTACTGGATCATTACAGACTGGAGTCTCAGAATAAAGACTGGTTCTACTGGATCATTACAGACTGGAGTCACAGAACAAAGACTGGTTCTACTGGGACATTACAGACTGGAGTCACAGAATAAAGACTGGTTCTACTGGGACATTACCGACTGGAGTCACAGAATAAAGACTGGTTCTACTGGGACATTACAGACTGGAATCACAGACTAAAAACTGGTTCTACTGGGACATTACAGACTGGAATCACAGACTAAAAACTGGTTCTACTGGGACATTACAGACTGGAGTCACAGAATAAAGACTGGTTCTACTGGGTCATTACAGACTGGAATCACAGACTAAAAACTGGTTCTATTGGGTCTACTGGGTCATTACAGACTGGGGTCTCAGAATAAAGACTGGTTCTACTGGGACATTACAGACTGGAGTCACAGAATAAAGACTGGTTCTACAGGGACATTACAGACTGGAGTCACAGAACAAAGACTGGTTCTACAGGGACATTACAGACTGGAGTCACAGAACAAAGACTGGTTCTACTGGGACATCACAGACTGGAGTCACAGAATAAAGACTGGTTCTACTGGGACATCACAGACTGGAGTCACAGAATAAAGACTGGTTCTACTGGGACATTACAGACTGGAGTCACAGAATAAAGACTGGTTCTACTGGGTCATTACAGACTGGAGTCACAGAATAAAGACTGGTTCTACTGGGTCATTACAGACTGGAGTCACAGAACAAAGACTGGTTCTACTGGGACATTACAGACTGGAGTCACAGAATAAAGACTGGTTCTACTGGGACATTACAGACTGGAATCACAGACTAAAAACTGGTTCTACTGGGACATTACAGACTGGAGTCACAGAATAAAGACTGATTCTATTGGGTCTACTGGGTCATTACAGACTGGAGTCTCAGAATAAAGACTGGTTCTACTGGGACATTACAGACTGGAGTCACAGAATAAAGACTGGTTCTACAGGGACATTACAGACTGGAGTCACAGAACAAAGACTGGTTCTACTGGGACATCACAGACTGGAGTCACAGAATAAAGACTGGTTCTACTGGGACATCACAGACTGGAGTCACAGAATAAAGACTGGTTCTACTGGGACATCACAGACTGGAGTCACAGAATAAAGACTGGTTCTACTGGGACATTACAGACTGGAATCACAGACTAAAAACTGGTTCTACTGGGACATTACAGACTGGAGTCACAGAATAAAGACTGATTCTATTGGGTCTACTGGGTCATTACAGACTGGAGTCTCAGAATAAAGACTGGTTCTACTGGGACATTACAGACTAGAATCACAGACTAAAAACTGGTTCTACTGGGTCTACTGGGTCATTACAGACTGGAATCACAGAACAAAGACTGGTTCTACTGGATCATTACAGACTGGAGTCTCAGAATAAAGATTGGTTCTACTCTGTCATTACAGACTGGAATCACAGAACAAAGACTGGTTCTACTGGATCATTACAGACTGGAGTCTCAGAATAAAGACTGGTTCTACTGGATCATTACAGACTGGAGTCACAGAACAAAGACTGGTTCTACTGGGACATTACAGACTGGAGTCACAGAATAAAGACTGGTTCTACTGGGACATTACCGACTGGAGTCACAGAATAAAGACTGGTTCTACTGGGACATTACAGACTGGAATCACAGACTAAAAACTGGTTCTACTGGGACATTACAGACTGGAATCACAGACTAAAAACTGGTTCTACTGGGACATTACAGACTGGAGTCACAGAATAAAGACTGGTTCTACTGGGTCATTACAGACTGGAATCACAGACTAAAAACTGGTTCTATTGGGTCTACTGGGTCATTACAGACTGGGGTCTCAGAATAAAGACTGGTTCTACTGGGACATTACAGACTGGAGTCACAGAATAAAGACTGGTTCTACAGGGACATTACAGACTGGAGTCACAGAACAAAGACTGGTTCTACAGGGACATTACAGACTGGAGTCACAGAACAAAGACTGGTTCTACTGGGACATCACAGACTGGAGTCACAGAATAAAGACTGGTTCTACTGGGACATCACAGACTGGAGTCACAGAATAAAGACTGGTTCTACTGGGACATTACAGACTGGAGTCACAGAATAAAGACTGGTTCTACTGGGTCATTACAGACTGGAATCACAGAATAAAGACTTGTTCTACTGGGACATTACAGACTGGAGTCACAGAATAAAGACTGGTTCTACTGGGTCATTACAGACTGGAGTCACAGAACAAAGACTGGTTCTACTGGGACATTACAGACTGGAGTCACAGAATAAAGACTGGTTCTACTGGGACATTACAGACTGGAATCACAGACTAAAAACTGGTTCTACTGGGACATTACAGACTGGAGTCACAGAATAAAGACTGGTTCTACTGGGACATTACAGACTGGAGTCACAGAATAAAGACTGGTTCTACTGGGACATCACAGACTGGAGTCACAGAATAAAGACTGGTTCTACTGGGACATTACAGACTGGAATCACAGACTAAAAACTGGTTCTACTGGGACATTACAGACTGGAGTCACAGAATAAAGACTGGTTCTACTGGGTCATTACAGACTGGAATCACAGACCAAAAACTGGTTCTATTGGGTCTACTGGGTCATTACAGACTGGGGTCTCAGAATAAAGACTGGTTCTACTGGGTCATTACAGACTGGGGTCTCAGAATAAAGACTGGTTCTACTGGGACATTACAGACTGGAGTCACAGAACAAAGACTGGTTCTACAGGGACATTACAGACTGGAGTCACAGAACAAAGACTGGTTCTACTGGGACATCACAGACTGGAGTCACAGAATAAAGACTGGTTCTACTGGGACATCACAGACTGGAGTCACAGAATAAAGACTGGTTCTACTGGGACATTACAGACTGGAGTCACAGAATAAAGACTGGTTCTACTGGGTCATTACAGACTGGAATCACAGAATAAAGACTGGTTCTACTGGGACATTACAGACTGGAGTCACAGAATAAAGACTGGTTCTACTGGGTCATTACAGACTGGAGTCACAGAATAAAGACTGGTTCTACTGGGACATTACAGACTGGAGTCACAGAATAAAGACTGCTTCTACTGGTTCTAGTTGGTCATTACAGACTGGGGCAGAACCAACCAACTGGTTCAATGTGTGGAAAATTAAGTAACAAATAATCCAGATAAAGAGTTAGAGCATTGAAAAAGAGGAGGACCAACGTGAGGAAGAGGAGGACCGAAGGGAGGAAGAGGACCGAAGGGAGAAAGAGGACCGAAGGGAGAAAGAGGAGAACAGACGTGAGGAAGAGGAGGACCGACGTGTTGAAGAGGAGGACCGACATGAGGAAGAGGAGGACCGAAGGGAAGAAGAGGAGAACAGAAGTGAGGAAGAGGAGGACCGACGTGTCGAAGAGGTGGACCGACATGAGGAAGAGGAGGACCGAAGGGAAGAAGAGGAGAGCAGAAGTGAGGAAGAGGAGGACCGAAGGGAAGAAGAGAACAGAAGTGAGGAAGAGGAGGACCGAAGGGAGAAAGAGGAGAACAGACGTGAGGAAGAGGAGGACCGACGTGTTGAAGAGGAGGACCGACATGAGGAAGAGGAGGACCGAAGGGAAGAAGAGGAGAACAGAAGTGAGGAAGAGGAGGACCGACGTGTCGAAGAGGTGGACCGACGTGAGGAAGAGGAGGACCGAAGGGAGGAAGAGGAGGGCCGAAGGGAGGAAGAGGAGGACCGAAGGGAGGAAGAGGAGGACCGAAGGGAAGAAGAGGAGAACAGAAGTGAGGAAGAGGAGGACCGACGTGTCGAAGAGGTGGACCGACGTGAGGAAGAGGAGGACCGAAGGGAGGAAGAGGAGGACCGAAGGGAGGAAGAGGAGGACCGACGGGAGGAAGAGGAGGACCGACGTGAGGAAGAGGAGGACCGACGTGTTGAAGAGGAGGACCGACATGAGGAAGAGGAGGACCGAAGGGAAGAAGAGGAGAACAGAAGTTAGGAAGAGGAGGACCGACGTGTCGAAGAGGTGGACCGACGTGAGGAAGAGGAGGACCGAAGGGAGGAAGAGGAGGACCGAAGGGAGGAAGAGGAGGACCGAAGGGAAGAAGAGGAGAACAGAAGTGAGGAAGAGGAGGACCGACGTGTCGAAGAGGTGGACCGACGTGAGGAAGAGGAGGACCGAAGGGAGGAAGAGGAGGACCGAAGGGAGGAAGAGGAGGACCGACGTGAGGAAGAGGAGGCCCGTCGAAGAGGTGGACCGACGTGAGGAAGAGGAGGACCGAAGGGAGGAAGAGGAGGACCGAAGGGAGGAAGAGGAGGACCGACGTGAGGAAGAAGAGGACCGAAGGGAGGAAGAGGAGGACCGACGTGAGGAAGAGGAGGACCGAAGGGAGGAAGAGGAGGACCGTCGTGTTGAAGAGGGGGACCGACGTGAGGAAGAGGAGGACCGTCGTGTTGAAGAGGAGGACCGTCGTGTTGAAGAGGGGGACCGACGTGAGGAAGAGGAGGACCGTCGTGTTGAAGAGGAGGACTGTCGTGTTGAAGAGCAGGGCCGAAGGGAGGAAGAGCAGGGCCGACATGAGGAAGAGGAGGACCAACATTCCTGTTTTCTTCATCTCTGGTTTCCTGCATTTCCTCTGATTTTTATTCATCATCTTTATCAATCAGAGCTGCTGTTTGTTCCAATAGAACATCAATCCCAACACTAATAGTCTGTTAATGGTTTGGAACCAGTGGAGGAAGAACCCTGACTGGCAGTGAGGAAAGTCTTACCAACGGTGTGGATGGACTTCCTGTAGGGAATCAGACCAAAGCTGTACTGGAAAACTCCTCTGGCATGAAAAAGAGGCATGGCTATTCCCATGATGCTCTGCAGCCGGTTCTGTGAACACAACAACATCCCATAATATCAGTGATGTTCTCATCAATGGGGACAGTAATGTGTGAAAGTATTCAAACCCCTGGAAGACGTCCACACTAAGTCCTGGCCTAGAACAATCTGCTGTCAGGCTGAAGCTGATGTTCTGCTGCTGTTAGGATATAAGTTCTTCTTTCTGGGATTCTCTAAGTATCTATAACTGCCCAGAAGCACTTTAAAACAAGCTAGCCTAGACTAGCGCTAGCTTAGCATTGCTATGGCTTCTCTCTCTCCCTCCCTTGACTCTTTTCCAACTCTTCCTTCTTCCTCTCCTCTCTCCTGCTCTCTGTGTCAGATGTTCAGTTATTCCTCTGCCTCCTTTAGTGATAATGGGATGTGTAATAAGTGTAGTATTTTAGTAGCTTTGGAGGCGAGGGTTAGAATCCAGGCTGTTGAACATCCAGGAGTTAATTCCGTAAAAATTCAAAAAAATATCCACTGGACTTGGTTTTCAAGATTTGAAGACGTTTCGCCACCTCTCCAGGAAGCTTTCTCAATTTAAATGTCTAGATCCGCAGTGAGTTTGAGTCTTATATAGACAACGCCTTGTATCGCTTGGAAACATGCAATGGTAACCGATGAATGGGTCGTTAGTTCCATCGTTAGCCTGTAATATCTGAACCTGTCTATGATTCTAGGGGTCGGTCGTTAAAGGGGGGATTGCCATTAATTGCCATTAACGACCGACCCCTAGAATCATAGACAGGTTCAGATATTACAGGCTAACGATGGAACTAACGACCCATTCATCGGTTACCATTGCATGTTTCCAAGCGATACAAGGCGTTGTCTATATAAGACTCAAACTCACTGCGGATCCAGACATTTGAATTGAGAAAGCTTCCTGGAGAGGTGGCGAAACGTCTTCAAATCTTGAAAACCAAGTCCAGTGGATATTTTTTTGAATTTTTATGGAATGAGCATGACCTGGATGACTGAGAACCTTCATCAGCATCCAGGAGTTAAAGTAGGCCCCCCACGTAGCTGTCCTCCAGCAGTGCCTGAGCAGCCAGGCGATTGGGTAACTGTACGCAGAAAGCGTAGTCGTGGATCTCTGCCCACTGGTCACCACCAACCCGTTCACCTTTCTAACCGCTTCTCCCCACTCAGTGACACACCCACTGAGAAGCCCACTCTGGTGATTGGCAGCTCCATAGTCAGAAACGTGGCATTAGAGACACCAGGGACCATAGTCAAATGTTTGCCGGGGGCCAGAACGGGCGACATCAAATCCTTCCTGAAACTACTGGCTGATGAAAATTTAAAGATGAGATCATATCTCTACTATCCTAGCTTCTCTTCAATGGCTTTCTGTTAAATCAAGAATACAATTTAGAAGAATTTTTAAAAGTAGAATGGGAGGCAGATCTTTTAGTTCTCAGGCTCCTCTCCTGTGGAACCAACTACCAGTTTTAATCCGTGAGGCAGACACCCTGTCTACTTTTAAGGCTAGGCTTAAAACTTTCCTTTTTGATAAAGCTTATAGTTAGAGTGGCTCAGGTTATCCTGAGCTATCTCTATAGTTCTGCTGCTATAGGCTTAGACTGCTGGAGGACATAGGGACCCCTTTTCCATCATTCTGCTTCATTCTATCTCTATTCTCCCACTCTGCAGAATCTGTTAGTTCAATCTCTAACGTTCTGCTCTCTCTGCTTTTTCTCATAGTAGCTTCATCTGGTCTGTTCCTGTTTGGCTGTGACTCCATCCTGGAGAGAAATATCAGCTGTGCTGCTGCCATCAACACTTTTGTTTCTAGATGTTGGAGCTTGGCCTGTTTTCCAGTGTAGTCCTGTTTCTCTGACTGTGACTAACTGGATGTGCTCTCTTCATCCTCTGACATGGGAGCTGGCTCGGAGCTCGTCTGCCTGGCTGTATGTTTCCTGGACAGGGCCGCCTGTGGAGCTGGTTGCCTTTTGTATCTATGCTTCTTTTTCCATGTCTGCCTCTGTCTCCTTGAACCCCACACTGAAAAAACAATCTAGAAATAAGTAAGCACTTTATTAAATTAAGTGTATTTACCCTTAATTTGAGTAGGTAAATAAAATAGTTTGCCAATGGAATGAGTATTTCTACTCTTAAAATAAGATCATTGGATAATATACACTTAAAATAAGACAAAGCAATTGTCTTATTAACTGGAGAGCACATCCAGTTAGTCACAGTCAGAGAAACAGGACTACACTGGAAAACAGGCCAAGCTCCAACATCTAGAAACAAAGGTGTTGATGGCAGCAGCACAGCTGATAAATGTGGAGAACATGACCCTGCTGGGGTTCTGTCAGTGTTTGGGTGGTGTGCTGTGGACCTGCAGCCTCCTCAGAGGAGATCCAGCTGGGTTCTCCATCTGATCAAACAGCTCGTTCTCTCCAAAAGAAAACACTGGAACCAGCTGAGCTCTGCACAAAAAGGAATGTCAAAGAAAGACACTGAAACACATGAGAACCTACAAACTGGCATTAATGACCAGACATCAGGCATGCAGGTAGGCCCGCCCACTGATTAGGCTCCACCCACCCGTGTTTCAGGGCTAGTTTGATGAAGCCCTTCCTGTTTTTCACCTGAAAACCAGAAAAACTGATCAATCCAGTGTCAATGGTCAAAAATTATAATGAGTCAGGTTCTGATCCAGTTCTGTTATTCTGAACCATCCGTTCAACCAGCAACCTCTATCAGAGCTACAGAAGTTACTGATCCAACAACCTCTTCACAAACGACCAGACTAACATTACTGGGATCTGGGATGGACTTCTGGTTCAGTCACCTGGGAAAGATGTGAAAATATGGACCTACCTGCAGAGTCAGAGCCCCTGGTCGAGCATCCAGAGCTTCTGGAGCTCCGCCCACTGCAATCACCGCCACGTTTCCTCCTCCAGGACGGCTGACCAGATGGGACAGACTGGACTTACAGCTGGACACCAGTCCTGAGGGGAAATAGAAGACATCAGCACCAATCAGAAAGTTATCCTGAGCTATTTCTATGGTTCTGCTGCTATAGGCCTAGACTGCTGGAGGACATAGGGACCCCTTTTTCATCATTCTGCTTTATTCTATCTCTATTCTCCCACTCTGCAGAATCTGTTAGTTCAATCTCTAACGTTATGCTTTTCCTCATCAAACAACAGGATGTATAAAATGAAAGTTCCCATTGTGTGTTGCCCACATTCACTGAGGTAAGAAACGCCTCACCAACAAATAGGCTATAGAAATCATTGTGTTAGAGCTGTAATAGTTTTGCCAAGTTAGGCGGGCTATCAGTTCCAGGTCAGTTATCTGGTGGTCGACATCCGTTCAGTGTCAGTTCATTATCAGTCCTGGCGTCTAGCTGATCCTAAACCTAGAGAGTACCTAGTGAATAACTTCTGCGTAACTTATCCAGAACTTCTCTCCAGCATATCAGCGTATCTGCCGTGTTCCAGACGAGCGCTGAACGTGTTTCTACCTTCCAGCTACTGTATAATGGCGTATTGGCAGCGTTTTGGTATAAAGGGGGTTCACAGGAGGAAACCGTCAGTTCTCCTCCAGACTTCATCCCCATCATAGGGTGAGCCAGAAGGTGAGTGATGGATCCTCCCTGGGTTCACGCCCACCACCAACACACTTCCTAGCAGACATGACGCTCAATCTTATTTTTGCTGGCGGTAAACAGCAGCTAGGTTAATACCGCGATCAAATAAATCTTTTGCTGCAGGCCGGGCGCTTCTGTCTCCTTGAACCCCAGTGGACCTCAGCAGATGGCCGCTTACACTGAGCCTGGTTCTGCTGGAGGTTTCTTCCTGTTCAAAGGGAGTTTTTCCTCTCCACTGTCGCTACAAGCATGCTTAGTGTGAGGGATTGCTGAAGAGTCAATGAGTCGATGCAATCAGCTGGTTTACCTTAGATAGAAAACTTTGAATCAATCTGACTGGATGATCTGGTGAACTGGAAAGTTCCTTGAGATGATTTGTGTTGTGAATTGGTGCTATATAAATAAACTGAATTGAATTGGTTAGCTAGCTGGTCAGTTGGGTGGTTAGTTAGCTTGTCAGTTAGCAGGTTAGTTAGGTGGTTAGTTAGCCGGTCAGTTAGCTGGTTAGTTAGCTGGTCAGTTAGATGGAGAGGATCTTCTGGGGCCATGAACCAATGTTGAGATGACATGTTGGGAATTGGAACTTTATAAATAAATTGAATTGAATGAAGGTTTTATTATCATCAGGTTCTGGTAATGGGGAGGAAGGGGAGAACATCCCGGGCTAGTCCCTCAGCTCCACTAGCTAACCTCTAACCAGATATTATATGCAGACCATAATGGTAGTCAGTGATAAAATGCCAGGATGGGTGAACTCTGACTAACACTTAGGCTCAGAGGAAGCTGAGGCCCTCAGGACTAACCAAATCAAGTCATTCATCCTGATGCTACGATCAGAACTGGAAACCAGTACTACCAGTTTTAAATACGTCTTTCTCTCTAAGAAAATTCAGCTTTTTAGATAATGGGGGGGTTCTTCTGTGGAGAGGATCCAGTTTAGTTTACAGAACAAAGAACCAAATGTTCAGATAAAAGTAATTCCTGATTCACAAAAACTCTGGATGTCAGTGACCTAAAATCTGCTCTAAGTTATAGTTTGGGTGTTCTCTAAATCACTGACTCTCAACCAGGAGGTATGTCTAGAACAGACTGGATGTAGAGAACAGACTGGATGCAGAGAACAGACTGGATGCAGAGAACAGACTGGATGTAGAGAACAGACTGGATGTAGAGAACAGTCTGGATGCAGAGAACAGTCTGGATGTAGAGAATAGACTGGATGCAGAGAACAGACTGGATGTAGAGAACAGACTGGATGTAGAGAACAGACTGGATGTAGAGAACAGACTGGATGCAGAGAACAGACTGGATGTAGAGAACAGACTGGATGTAGAGAACAGACTGGATGCAGAGAACAGTCTGGATGTAGACAATAGTCTGGATGGAGAGAACAGTCTGGATGCAGAGAACAGTCTGGATGGAGAGAACAGTCTGGATGGAGAGAACAGTCTGGATGCAGAGAACAGACTGGATGGAGAGAACAGTCTGGATGCAGAGAACAGTCTGGATGTAGAGAATAGTCTGGATGGAGAGAACAGTCTGGATGCAGAGAACAGTCTGGATGGAGAGAACAGTCTGGATGCAGAGAACATACTGGATGTAGAGAACATACTGGATGGAGAGAACAGTCTGGATGCAGAGAACAGTCTGGATGTAGAGAATAGTCTGGATGGAGAGAACAGTCTGGATGCAGAGAACAGTCTGGATGGAGAGAACAGTCTGGATGCAGAGAACAGACTGGATGGAGAGAACAGTCTGGATGCAGAGAACAGTCTGGATGTAGAGAACAGTCTGGATGCAGAGAACAGTCTGGATGGAGAGAACAGTCTGGATGTAGAGAACAGTCTGGATGCAGAGAACAGTCTGGATGCAGAGAACATACTGGATGCAGAGAACATACTGGATGTAGAGAACAGTCTGGATGCAGAGAACAGACTGGATGTAGAGAACAGTCTGGATGCAGAGAACAGTCTGGATGTAGAGAACAGTCTGGATGCAGAGAACAGTCTGGATGCAGAGAACAGACTGGGTGTAGAGAACAGTCTGGATGCAGAGAACATACTGGATGCAGAGAACATACTGGATGTAGAGAACAGTCTGGATGCAGAGAACAGTCTGGATGCAGAGAACAGACTGGATGTAGAGAACAGTCTGGATGCAGAGAACATACTGGATGTAGAGAACAGTCTGGATGCAGAGAACATACTGGATGTAGAGAACAGACTGGATGCAGAGAACAGACTGGATGTAGAGAACAGACTGGATGTAGAGAACAGTCTGGATGCAGAGAACAGACTGGATGCAGAGAACAGTCTGGATGCAGAGAACAGACTGGATGAAGAGAACATACTGGATGCAGAGAACAGTCTGGATGCAGAGAACAGTCTGGATGCAGAGAACAGTCTGGATGCAGAGAACAGACTGGATGCAGAGAACATACTGGATGCAGAGAACAGTCTGGATGCAGGGAACAGTCTGGATGCAGAGAACAGTCTGGATGCAGAGAACAGACTGAATGCAGAGAACAGACTGGATGCAGAGAACATACTGGATGAAGAGAACAGACTGGATGCAGAGAACACTCTGTATGCAGAGAACAGTCTGGATGCAGAGAACACTCTGTATGCAGAGAACAGACTGGATGCAGAGAACAGACTGGATGTAGAGAACAGACTGGATGTAGAGAACAGTCTGGATGTAGAGAACAGACTGGATGTAGAGAACATACTGGAGGTAGAGAACAGTCTGGATGCAGAGAACAGACTGGATGCAGAGAACAGACTGGATGCAGAGAACAGACTGGATGTAGAGAACAGACTGGATGTAGAGAACATACTGGAGGTAGAGAACAGTCTGGATGTAGAGAACAGACTGGATGCAGAGAACAGTCTGGATGCAGAGAACAGACTGGATGCAGAGAACAGACTGGATGCAGAGAACAGACTGGATGTAGAGAGCAGTCTGGATGCAGAGAACAGACTGGATGCAGAGAACAGACTGGAAGCAGAGAACAGTCTGGATGGAGAGAACAGACTGGATGTAGAGAACAGACTGGATATAGGGAACAGACTGGATGCAGAGAACAGTCTGGATGCAGACAACAGACTGGATGTAGAGAACAGACTGGATGTAGAGAACAGACTGGATGTAGAGAACAGACTGGATGTAGATAACAGACTGGATGTAGAGAACAGACTGGAGAGAACATACTGGATGCAGAGGACATACCGGAAGCAGAGAACAGACTGGATGCAGACAAGAGTCTGGATGCAGACAACAGTCTGGATGTAGAGAACAGACTGGATGTAGAGAACAGTCTGGATGTAGAGAACAGACTGGATGTAGAGAACAGACTGGATGTAGAGAACAAATTGGATGCATAGAACAGACTGGATGCATAGAACAGTCTGGATGGAGAGAACAGACTACAGGTGCTGGTCATAAAATTAGAATATCATGAAAAAGTAGATTGATTTCAGTAATTCCATTTAAAAAGTGAAACTTGTATATTATATTCATACATTACATACAAACTCATATATTTCAGATGTTTATTTTGTTTAATTTTGATGATTACAAATGACAACAAATGAAAATCTCAAATTCATCATATCAGAAAATTAGAATATTGTGAAAAGGTTCAAAATTGATGGCCCCTGGTGCCACACTCTAATCAGCTAATTAACTCAAACCACCTGCAAAAGCCTTTAAATGGTCTTTCAGTCTAGTTCTATAGGCTACACAATCATGGGGAAGACTGCTGACTTGACAGTTGTCCAAAAGACGACCATCGACACCTTGCACAAGGAGGGCAAGACACAAAAGGTCATCGCTAAAGAGGCTGGCTGTTCACAGAGCTCAGTGTCCAAGCACATTAATAGAGAGGCGAAGGGAAGGAAAAGATGTGGTCGAAAAAAGTGTACAAGCAAGAGAGATAACCGCACCCTGGAGAGGATTGTGAAACAAAACCCATTCAAAAATGTGGGGGAGATTCACAAAGAGTGGACTGCAGCTGGAGTGAGTGCTTCAAGAACCACCACACACAGACGTATGAAAGACATGGGTTTCTGCTGTCGCATTCCTTGTGTCAAGCCACTCTTGAACCACAGACAGCGTCAGAAGCGTCTTGCCTGGGCTAAAGAGAAACAGGACTGGACTGCTGGTGAGTGGTCCAAAGTCATGTTCTCTGATGAAAGTAAATTTTGCATTTCCTTTGGAAATCAAGGTCCCAGAGTCTGGAGGAAAAGAAGAGAGGCACTTCATCCACGTTGCTTGAAGTCCAGGGTAAAGTTTCCACAGTCAGTGATGGTTTGGGGTGCCATGTCATCTGCTGGTGTTGGTCCATTGTGTTTTCTG